GCTCTGGGCGGCGGCGGCCAACTGGGAGCAGGGCGCGCCGGCGCGAGTGCCGGGACCTGATTTCATGTGTGCGGATATTCTTAGAGCGAGAGGTGCTCCCCCACGCGCGCCGCAACCGCCTGGCGGGCTCGCCCGCCGCGGGGCGCAGCGCGGCTGCGCGGGAGAAGCTGGAGGACTGGGGGCGGGGGGCTTGCAATCGGTGATGGTGGGGTGGCGATGGCTGTTTCGCGGCATAGTGTGTGAATTCACACCTGTGGTTTAAATCCCCATGGTCCTCACTGCTGGATTGAATGGTTGTGGTGGGATGCGAGTGCAGGCGCATTGTGTCGTAGCTGGAGGGCTCAGCACTGGCGGTTTTTATGAAAACTCTCTTTCATGCTGGAGACGTGGTAACCTGAGTGAGTTCAAGTGACCTGAGAGCAGCAACCGGCAATCGAGTTGACAATTCTGATGTACGTGGGTGCACAAGGCTCGTCGTGTGTTATCAATGGTGCTCGTGTTGTCTGCCAAGCATCAACGCGACCCAACGCCAGAGCGCAGCGCAGTGATGACCTCACACCCACCGCACCGCCACCTGGTGACACAGCACTGCTTTTGGGTGTGGACGCTTGCTTACTGATGTTATTTTCTTCCCGGTTCATCAATTGTGTTCCCCTTTCACACATCGAAGCGTGGACGGATCTACAGTGTCAATGAACTTGGTGCGTGTCGCGCAAATAGCTGGGTGCACTGCGCTAAATAGCGACCAACTCTCACCCAGTTGCGTCGTCAACCCGCGTTGACAGATCCGAAAGGCCACGGGACTGGCAGCGGGCGGGCGTGGCGCGACCATCTGCCGCGCCGCTGCTGGCAACGGGACACAGCAGCCTGGCGTGGGCGGCAGCAGCAGGTGAGCCTCAAGTGGCCTGTGCTGCTTTTGAAATTCAATACTATCATATTTTATAACCGCCTGCGCCGGCCGCGGCAGGGCTCCGGCACGCGCGCCACAAGGGCGGCGGGCCGCCTGCGCTGCCCTGCTGGTCGTTTCGGCGGCGCTCACGCTTGCGATCGTGTGAGCACCTGCCTATTTTTTTTCCGCCGCGGCAGCAGCAGCAGCAGCAGCGTCAGCCGTTGGACCAAGGCAGTGGCATGAAAGCAGCGGGCCAGGTCGACGCACGAAGGCCAAGGCCAGATGCAGGGGCAGAGGGGAGGATGGCAACAGCAGTTTCAAGCAAACACCCTTCATGCGCCATCCCGCCGCCCCGACCAAAGCACGCGCTCGTCATGGTTCGTAGACAACCAATGACACACGGCCTGCTGCCCGGTACCATCACTCCCACCCCTTCCACGGCTCATTCTGCCGCCACCAACACGCGACCGACGCAGGCCCCTGCTGCGGCGACTGATCCTCGGAGGCGGCCTGCTGGGCTCTGCGGCTGTCGGCGCCGGCGCTCCCGCGCTCACAGACGGAGAGGCGCGTCGCGGCGAGGTGCGCGCACGCGAGCGCATGTGTGTGTGTGACTGTGTGGCTGTGCGACTGTGTGTGTGGAGGGGGGTTACAGGTGCAGAGGGGTTGCGGCGCTGCATGCTCGCTGCGGTCATGAGAGAAAGTTGCCATCCGAGGTCGTTGCAAACAGGTGGCAGCAGGGCGGCAGCGGCCGCCCAAACAGCATTGCCTGTCAAGGCCGGAATGGCGCTGCCCCACCAGTCTCGGCCGATTTGTGTGGGGTGCGTGATGAGTGGAGCACAGCGTTGCGCAGTGGCAGCGGCGGGGGATCCAGAGATGATTCTTTTTTAGCCATGGGCCGGTTCCTGTGGGGTGAATGGGCAGAGCCTCTTCTGGCTTGGGCGCTGTTTTGCATGGCCACTTGCCATGGGTGCAGTTTTGAAGCTCGTTTTGAAAAGGACCAACTGAAGACTGAAGACACTGCGTGTCGCCATGCGCAGGTCGTTCGCACGGATGAGGAGTGGCGGCGGGTCCTCAGCCGAGAGGCGTACAGCGTGCTGCGAAAGGTGGGGCCTCCCTCGGACGCAGCCGAATCCGCGGGGGCTTGACGGCCACCCAAACACCGGAGGCAGGGTCAAGGGCACGCGCCACCTACGCATTCCTTTGTCATATGGGTTTGGCAGACGGCTCGCTGTGCTGTCGCCAAGGGCGTTTGAACAGTGACAGCGGCCCTCGTCCCAGACGCGCCTACTCCAATCCCGCTGATCTTGATCGTTGACTGTTTTTTCCTCACCCCCCTGCGGCGACCCCGGTCCCGGGCCGCGCGCCCCTCCAGGCCGGAACCGAGCGCCGCGGCAGTAGCCCCCTCAACAAGGAGAAGCGCGCGGGCACCTTCCTGTGCGCCGGCTGCGGCGCCCCCCTGTTTGCTTCGAGGACAAAGTTTGATAGCGGCACAGGGTGGCCCAGCTTCTACGAGCCGTTGGAAGGTGTGCGCGTGTGTCTGAAAGTGTGTGTGCGCGTGTGCGTGTGTGTGCGTGTGTGTGTGTGTGTGTGCGCACACGCTGGTGTGTGGGGGAGGGCTGGGCGGTCGGCGACATAGGGTTTGGAGATGGGCAGTGTCTCAGTTCACGGTGTTCCAGGTGATGGCAAGGGCGGAGAGGGCTCCAGGGTCCGAGGCTGTTGGGCAGGGGCATGTTGGCGCGGGTGTTTCCTCGGGGTGGCCCAGCACTGCCGTGAGCCGTACGAAGGTGGGGGGGGGGCAGGTAGGGGATGATATCCCATGCCGATGGGTGCACCTGGGCTCACTCACTACATGTACAAAAAGGACGAGTTGCGGAGCCCAGGCAATGCCTGGGTTTGGGTTCAGGCTACGAGCCCTGAACGCACCTTCATGTTTGGTCTTCTTCACCAAACGCCCCACAATCGGTTGAAAAATACATGGCTCCAAAAGCTTTGCTGCGACCCCGAGCCGTCAGTGTCCCTTATTCAATGCAAGCACCTCATCGTGGGTTGCCTCCTCATCAACCCGTGTCACTCGATGCGCCCATCCCCCTCACGCGCAACCACCTCAAGCACCACCACCTCATCCCCACCCCCACGCCCACCCCCACCCCCACCCCCCAGGTGCTGTGGAGGAGGTTGCTGACTGGAGTCTGCCCTTCATGCCGCGGACAGAGGCGAGCGGCCCAATGTGGCGCCCGCGTTTTCAGGGTTGTGGCGCGCGTCGCGGACCGTTGGAGCACGCAGCACCCCTACAGACAACACCTGACCCTGGGCGCTGGTCGAACCGCC